TCATGATTCTTGTCATGGACCCGATCCCTATCGAAAAACGCGGTTGCGTCTCTCCTGTGATGTTCCTATTAAATCTTCTGCGAGGCATCGTCCCGGAACTGTGACTCCCGATTAGTAATCCATTTCACTTCAGTGGAACTGTAACGTTCTTCAGTAGCGAGGGGGGGGGTAGGGTTGCCGAACGACGATCCGGTGCTCTTAAGCATGCCGACGAAACTGCTCTTGCGTGGCACCGGCCCCGCCGGCGGCGTCTCGTCGGCGTCGGCCGGCGGCGCGGCGGCGGCGCCGTTGGCGGCGGCGTCGGCCGGCTTGCCGAGCCATCGCTCTTTGTCTCCGAGCCTGCGCGGGTGAGTACGCCGACATGAGGGCGGGGAGGACGGCCTCGAGCGGAGACGTGGCGTACGAGGCGGCGGACTGGCGTGTCTTCCGAGCACCGCGTGAGTACAGCGGCGACGAGGACAGTGAGTCTCAAGACGGCGGGGTGCGCGTCCTCTCGAGCGCTGGCTGGGGTACAAGACGATGCGTCTTCCGCTTCTAGAGTACCCGGAGCCAGTCCTCGAGCTTTGAGGCCTTGGAGTGGTGCAGCTTGATATAGTACTCCACCTACAGGAAGGAGCCAGGAAGGGTCTAGGAAAGGTCCGAGAAGTGGTGGAGCTTGATATAGTACTCCACCTGCAGGAAGGGGCCAGGAAGGGTCTAGGAGAGGTCCGAGAAGCGGCATGCCAGAGTCGCGGCCGGGCGACCCGCTTGAGGTTCTTGAGCTTCAGGCGCAAGTTCGCCTCGTAGGCCTGCGCGCGGTGAGAGCACGCCGACATGAGGGGCGGGGGAGACGGTCTTGCGCAGCGTATTCATAGCACCGCGGGAGGACGAGGGGGTGCGGAGACAGCGAACACGGTGGAATGCGGCCGGAGACGGCTGAAGACGTGTCCTCTCGAGTCGCGAGTTGGGAGGCAAGGGCGCGTCTTCCGCTCCCCGGCTCTCGCATGCCTGCTCGGCGTAGGGGAGATATGGGGAGATATGGGGAGATATGGGGAGATCGCATGCCTGCTCGGCGTAGGTGAGCTATGGGGAGATATGGGGAGATATGGGGAGATCGCATGCCTGCTCGGCGTAGGGGAGATATGGGGAGATCTGGGGAGATATGGGGAGATATGGGGAGATCGCATGCCTGCTCGGCGTAGGTGAGCTCCTCCCACCACCGGTTGAGGACCTGAGGGACGAGATCGCACGAGATCACCCGAGATCACCCGAGATTGGCCGAGGCTGCTGCTGGCCCCGCCGGCGGCGGTGGGGGTGGGGTGGTGTGGGGGGAGAGAACCTTGAGCGAGGTGTCCTCGGTGGGGATGAAGGTGCGTCCGAGCGAGGCGAGGCGGGAGGTGATCGACGAGTGCAGCGCCTCGAGGTCGTTGAGCTCGTTGAGCTTGGTCGGCTTCTCGCCTGTGAGAAAACAGAAAACACGCGTCCGAGAGGAAGATGAGCGCACCGCCGGCCAGCGTGGTCGGCGTCTCGCCGCGGCCGTACTCCATGACGTGCTTCTTCATCTCGACCTCGAGCTCCGCCTGCGAGTTGCAGTTAATTAATAATTAATAACTACTGTTAATCATTCATAGTCCGTTTTATTTATTTATTTATTAATAATTAATGAGCAGCTCCGCCTGCGAGTTGCAGTTTGGCTCCGCCTGGAAGAAGTCCGTCTTGAGCTTGATCCACCTGCCGCCGGTGCGGGGAAGGGACTCTCCTCTCCACACGCGCACAGCGCGGTGGAGGGGCAAGGGCCAGGCTGGTCCCTCGCGACTCCGCGTCTAAGACGACAGGAGCTGGCACGGCATGCAAAGTGCAAGGCCCGGTGCGCGTGGGTGAGCGGTGTGGGAGAGAGAGAGAGAGAGAGAAAGAGAGAGAGGGGGGGGGAGGGAGAGAGAGCACCTGCCGAGCTGCTCGCCGTTGAGCTTGTACTGCTCCATCAAGTCTCGGTACGCCAGCTCGCGCTGCAGCACGTTCGTGATCCGCTCGGCGGCGATCTTCTTGCGCTTGTTTGCCGCGAAGACCTTCCGGAAGATCGGGACGTACGTCATGACCGGCTAGGACGTGTCTGGGGAGTGTCCAGGAGGAGGCTAGGAAGTGTCTCGGAAGTGACCTTCCAGAAGAAGGACACGTACGTCATGACCGACTAGGGCGTGTCTGGGGAGTGTCCAGGAGGAGGCTAGGAAGTGTCTCGGAAGTGACCTTCCAGAAGAAGGACACGTACGTCATGACCGACTTCTGGGGAGTGTCCAGGAGGAGGCTAGGAAGTGTCTCGGAACCTTCCAGAAGAAGGACACGTACGTCATGACCGACTTCTCGTCCGGCCGCATCGACACCTACCCAAGAGTGGTCCGAACTGAGTGCAAGAAGGGCAGGGCTTGGCCGCCCGGCCGCAACGGCGTGCCATGTCGGTGGCGTCGAGCAGCTTCGGGATCTCGAGCTTGTCGTTTGCAAGGTCGAAGGCGTGGTTGAGGTTGTCAACCTTCCAACGGCGAGCCACTCCCGTCCTCACGGCGTCGCCGCTCGCACCAGCGGCAGGGGGGTGTGGCGGAGGGGGTGTGGCGGAGGGGGTGTGGCGGAGGCTGTGTCGCGGAGGGGGTGTGGCGGAGGGAGTGTGGCGGAGGGAGTGTCGCGGGGGGCTGTCCCACCTTGGCGGACTTGTTCAGCTTTTGGTACTGCACCAAGTCGGGGCGGTAGGCCTGGGAGAGCGATCGGAAGGCTCGCCGGTGAGTCGGGTCGCTGGAGGGCGACGCGTGGTCGGGGGGGGGGGGGGGGGGGGGG